GCAAGCGGCGCGGCTGCGGCGCGGAGGAGCTGCGCGCGCGGCGGAGGGCGCGCGAGGCGGGTGCGTGGGGTCCGGGGCCGCGCGGCTCGCGTCGGGGGGGGGCGGCCCGGGCAGGGCTCTTGCGCGGCCCCCCGCCGGGCTCAGCGTGGCTGGTCGGAGCCGGCGCGCAGGGCGAGGGCGAGGGCAGGGCAGGGCGAGGGCGGGGGCCTGGAGCCTTGCTCGGGCTCCCCTTTCCGCTCCCCCCGGATGGGGGAAGGCCAGCGGGCACGTAGCTTCAAGATCCCGCGCGGAAAGAGAACCGAGAAAATGAAGTGTTGCATTGCGAGAAGTGGAGGTCGGCCGGCCCCTTTTCCGAACACGCACCTCGAACAATATTGCTCCTGTCCTCCCAGGATGACAGTTAAAAAAAGAAAATGGGGGGGGGGGTGAATCACTGAATAAGAGAGAAAATAACTCAGGACAGGCAGCTCCAGGGATCTCCCCCTCCGAGGTGGCTGGCACATTCCCAGAGGTCCCCCCAGTTCCCCACCCAGCAGATGCACACCCTCCCCTTCTGCAAACCTGAAAGAGACAGCTTATTTCTGGCCTTTTGGGAGCAGCTGCCCGCCTCTGGGGGGGGGGGGGGTTGCTCCGCAGGCCTGTGGAGAATTCGTGTTAAGCCCACCACTTGGCTGTAAGAATCCGGGTTGCCTGTTCTGTTCAGGCGTGACTGCCCGGTCCTCATTGGAACTGATCAGGCTCAAATCTGGAAAGAGGTCTGAGCGTAACTGTCAGCCACTGAGAGATCTGTCTCCAATATAAGAGTGGATACAAATGTTTTAAATAAACACATACATAAATGATCTCTGGGCATCTTGCTGCAGGTTGAGAAGTTAAAGGGGCAGCAGGCCTGGGCGCTTTCGTTATCTCTTCCCGCAACAGCCTTCTAGAGTCAGCAGGAGCCGTGCCCGCTTCCCACTCCAGCCCCATGTTCCCATCCAAAGGGGATGTGGGGTGTCTTGGTCACGGGATCTCCTTGTCTTGCAGCCCTGAGGAGCACGCGGAGGTTGCAGCAGCTGATCAGCAAGCGGCTCCTACGCGAAGAGACCTTGACGTGTGAAGAGCGCGCAGGAACCGAGTGTGAGGCAGCAGCTCCTCTCTCTGACGAAGAGGTGGGATGCCCGCTTGTTCCCTGCGCAGGATGGCCTTTACATCCTCTCACAGTCTTCCTCTTTAGAAAGATCTGGCACTTTGGCTGTAAGGTGGATTGATTTAAATGAAGGAAAAGAATGCATTTACAGCAAGGAAAGGGGCTTATTTGAAGCATGCTGCTTTATATTTATCCTGCTTTATATGTTTCCTAAATGATGGTGCACTTCTGATCACTAACTGAGATCAACTTAATTTATATTATACATTATATTGTACCACAAAGAAGGGGAAATGTTGTAAAGTATTTTAGAAAACCTGATTTTTCTAATTGAGCCATTATGCTGCGTCTTGCATGCTTCGATGACTGAGAAGAAGTCCTGGCCCTCTGCAGTGTGAAAGCTTCTCAAGTATTCTAATGGTTACATAGAAACACAGAAACTGAGTGAGTCAGAAGGGGCCTCCCGGGCCATCTAGTCTGACCCCCGGCACCAGCCGGACCCGCTCACGACATGCCCACTGTGTGGATGTTACCTGCCTGAGGAGAGAGAGGACATCACTTTTCAAAGACTTGGAATGCCATCACACCAAGAAGGGCCCGGAGCTCTTCTCAGTCATCAGGGAGGCTGTAACCTGGAGCCCTTCACTGAGCGGCAGGCTGGTCCTGATGGCCCTGTCGGCCTCATTCAGGCTGACTATTCTACCACTCTGTAATTATAAGCACGAAAGAAGAGTAGATAGTGTTTTATTGTATAGGTGTCAGGTCCAGATGCAGTGCTTCTGTATTCAAAAAATCGGTTTGCCTTATATCTGAGCCAGAAATACAGCTCATGTTAATTAGGGTTTGTCCAGACATATCCGGATCAGTAGCCATGGTGTAAGGTTGGTTTGTGGGGCAAACCGTAGTTAAAACTAATTACACGTCTCCCCTTTTAGTTCTAATCCAACCTACGGCCACTGCAGCTGGAGGCCGTTGTGTCCCCTGAGCCCTACGGCCAAGCCAGATCGGGAGCACGGAGGAGCTGCAGGCAGGCAGGCGTGGGGCCTGTGCGTGCCACAGAATCCGAGTTTCCACCCTTTTTAACTGTCGTGTTGCTTTTTAAATTCCAGATTTTTCTGTCATACAAAAGACTTTGATGCACTCAGTGTCTCATGAGCTCTGTGGTCTGCCAGTCCATTTGCATCCTCATTTCAAACTCCCCGAGCTGAGCTTGGGAGCCTTGAGGCCTGACTATTTGAAGGACAGTTTCCATCCTAATCCTCAGTGCTGGATGTAGGTGCCCTGCTTTGAGGATTTAGGTGTGTGGCCACCAGGCCAAGGGCCTTCCTCACTGAGGTGCTTCTGGAACCCCCTCCCCAGCAAGGCGAGGCGAGGCCTGGGCGCGGCTGCTGGTGCTTCTTCTGGGCACTGGGCGAACGCCTCACTCCCCCCAGGGTTCCTCTTCTTCCCCTTTTACACCTTGGCCAAATCCACTTCTGTTCCACTGCAGTCCTGTCCTCTTACTCTCATACTGCTTTGGAATAAAAATATCCCCAGTGAATGCACCACGAGGGGTTGGGGTGGCGTGAGTTCCATCTGAGGTCTCCATCTCGGCTGCTTTCTCATCGAGTCGTGTCCTTGTTCACTGGCAGGTTTCGCAGTTGCTGAGGAGCATTCAGAGAGGAGCGCACGACAGGGCAGCAGCTTTGCGGCGCCTCCGAGAAGGACTGCAGCACGGCGAGTCCCAGGAGAAGTTCATCAGGTCAGATGGGTCTTTCCCACGGGACGCAGCTGGCCTGGCCTGGTGCAGACAGAACAGCGCAGAGTGCCGTTGGCGGCACTAGGCCAAACGCCCCTCTTGCCTAGTGCAGGAACAGCCCAGTTCAGCAGGAGGCAGACCCACATCTCCTTGGTAGTGTAGATGGAAAATGGTTTTAAATTTTCTTAATCTGTGATCTTGGGAGCACAGATTGCCAGCTGCCACTAGGGAGCGCTTCTGCAGACCTGGCCGCCAACATTTCTGGCAAGAGCCCTGTTATTCTAAGCATAATGGACAATTTGTTTGTCTATAGATGTATTTCTAGGCTGCCTATAACTGCCGAAGCCTATTGTCTTTCAGGCTAACATTTACGAAGGAAAAATTGTGTAAGTGACTTGAGTGCCTCCAAGAATTGGCCAGGCACATGCAGAAGCAGCACCTTCTTCCTCCCGCTTCCGCCATGCTGTCGAAGTCCCACTGGCGGCGGCCTCCGTCCCGCTGCTGCTTTCAGCCAGAGAAGGCAACCGAGCGCTGAAGCGCAGGCCAAGCCCCTTAGGTGCTAGATGGGGCTCCCTGAAGTGCTGTGGTTGTGGCCACTGTGTGCACGACCTGTGCGAAGCCCGTGTCGGGGGCGAGATGGAGAAAGAACAGGCACACCGTTCCAGTCTAGCTTCAGGGAATTCGAGCTTCTGTTGCAGCTCTGGAGGGTGGGATGGAAGTGGGTCCAGTCTGGTCTTCCATGGGTCCAGCCCAGTGCTGTTTGCTGGAATTGGCCAAATGCTCTTCGACTAAGCAAGCCTGCCAGAGCCAGGGCGTCGGGACGGCTTGACTGCTTCCCAGCTCAGCGCCGCATGTCGCTTGTGCAGGCTGGAGGGCGGCGTGCGGGCGCTGATCGGCCTCTTCACCAGCCAGCAAGCGGACCTGCAGATGGACGCGGCACGCTGCTTGCACGAGCTGTCCCACTCCAGCGACGCAGACGTAGTTGCGGCCTGCTTGCCAGCAACCTCCTACCTGCTGACCTACCTGTCCGGACACAGCGCAGCCCTCATGGTAAGACGCAAGCTGGCACGCTTCCGCCGGATGCCGGGGTCCGCTAGCCCAGGAGGAGTTGAAACGCCGCAGCCCATCGCCAGTCGCTGCCTGGCATCTCTGCGCTGCCGGCAGCCACAGCTCTCTGTCATTTCTGAGTTTACAAGCTGGAGTGGAGCATTTCGGGAAATAGGGTAGTGGTGATTGAAAAACACTACGTGGCAGGAATGAATAATTTTAGCAGTCAAAATAAGAAATCCCAGAACCCTTTAAAAAGCCACCGGCCATTCCTGATGGCTTATGCAGCGTGGGTGCTCTGGCAATGGTCCTCTCCAGCCGGCCCTGCTCTGAGTTGAAATGGGATTCAGGCTGAAAGCTGGCATGTTGTCAGGGTGCTGTGCTCTGAGTTCAGGGCTGTAGCGCTGGTAAGCCAGGCCCTTTGGCACATGGAAGGAAATCCGCCCTCGGGCAGGCCAGCTCACCCCAGAAAAATGGAACGGTCTGAGGAACATGGAAGGGGCTGCGGGCATCGAAGGGGCCAAAGGCTCCGCGGGGCTGTATAGTATTATTATTATTATTTTATTATTATTACAGCATTTCTATGCCGCCCCTTGCCGAAGCCTCGGGGCGGCTTACAACACAATAAAATACGTTGAAGTACAATAGAACGTAATAAATTACCTCCAATTACATAAATACAAAGAATATACTGGGATACCCACATAATCATATAAAGTTAAAATTAACAGTATAAAATAAGTGAATAAAGAATATAGGAGGAAAATAGAGAAGGAAGAAGAAGTTGCCCTGGCCAGATTATACATTTTAACAATTAAAATGATGTTTAAATAAAAAGGTCTTTACCTGGCGCCGAAAAACAAGTAACGACGGTGCCAGGCGGACCGTATAGGAGCTCTTGGTTTCCAGGGTGGCAGCCGGGGCTCCCCCAGATCCCAGCCCCTAGGTGTGTCTTGACAGAAACCCTTGGCGATGCTGAGCGCAGGAATGTGGCTCAAGTCGGCGTTGTTCTGTTTATTTCTTCCCTTTGCCCCCAAAGGTAACCCTTTACACCCCATATTTTCATAGCTGCTCCCTGCACTAGTGGGAATGTTCAATGCACTTAATAGTTTTAAGCCATCCGGTAACTGAAGTTCTCTGGCTAATGGACCAATGAGAAGCTAAATCACAAAGTGGCATTAAATCAAATGATACAAACACGATGAAATCAAAAATAAAACCAGCAACATGCAAAACGCTGCAAAGATCTAAATGCCTGAAAAAGTAGAAAGAACCACAATATGGATACCCAGTAAGCCTCTCTTTGGTATCCCCCTTTGGCAGATGGTCGCTCCCACTAGGAGGCCCCCTCCGGTGCCGCCTGCCTTGCCTCAGGGCCTCAGGCGGGGCTCTCTGGGCAGGGAAGGTGACGGGGGAGGCTCCTGCCCGCCTGCTTCTTGGCACGGGGCGCGCCGTCGTTCAGGCGCTTGGGGCAGCGGCCTGAGTGTGCACCGCTGCTCCCGGGCGATGTGTTGCAGGAGCTGTGCTTGTACACGCTGGGGAACCTGGCGGTCGAGGCGGAGGCGGTGAGGACGCACCTTCTGCCGCAGGGCATCATCCCAGTCATGGCATCCTGTATCCAGGTGAGCGGGGAGTGGAGCTGTGTCTGGCCGGGGTGGGCGGCAGGCGCCATGCCTTGCCTTTGGGGTGGGCGACAGGCGCCACGCAGCCTGCAGGGGCTCTTCAGCCCCAAGCGTGGTGCTTGCCACTGGGCACCGTGCTGTGGTTTGCTGCCGAAATTTGGTGGCGAACGGATCCTGCGGGGCTGTCACCCAAAGTTCGGTGGCCTGCAGCTCTTTGTGGGGGGATTTCCGGGGGCTTGAAATTGGTGCAGAGGCCCAGGGCTGCCTGCCTCTGGCTGAGCCATCCTGTGCCAGTGTTGCCTAATCAAAGTGTGTGCCTGCCTGATGAGTTGTTACTGGAATACCCAGAACTGTTACTGGATCTCTCTAGGATACGTGCCATATCCTAGATCGAGCCATATTTCAAGGCTTCCCCAGCTGAATAAAGCACACTGGCTTTCTCCTCCTTTTACTGAGTTTTTGCTTAGAATTTTAACTTTCCAGGAAATTTCAGTAGCTGTGTAACAGGTTTCCTGAGCTCTTTCTTGTCAGGACCTGCTTGTCTTCAAGGTACGCAAACGGCTTCAGCTTTACAGTGCTGCCAGATCCCGGGTGGATCCTCCATCAGCATTCGCAAGAGCTCGCTGTGCCAGCCCTGCTTCTGCTGCTCCTCCGGCTCCCTCCCCGGGCTCTTTGGAGGCTTGGCCCCGAACCACCAGAGGCTGAGGGTGCTCCTCTTGCATTTCAGTCCCCGCACGTGGCAGTGCAGGAAGGCGTGGGCTACGTTCTGGCACAGCTCTTGCAGGCCAGGGAAGCTCCAGCAGAGATCACGCCGTAAGTGGCCTCGCCTTTCCATTCAGGCACGGCTGGGGTGCGCGTGTGCATCACTCCACCCAAACACAAGGTGCTGTCTGCAGATGCCACCCGTCTAACCTGCCCCCTCGTTAACGGCTAGTGTCTTGATTCTGTCTTTGCATTTCCTGGCTACGCTTCATCTTGATGGACGCCAGGGCAGCATCCAATAATAGAAGGGGGAAAACAATAGGAACAATCAAGCAGTACAAATTCCTGCACAAATTTATTTATTTAGAAAATTTCTATGCCGCCCCATTCGTCGAAGCCTCGGGGCGGCTCACAAACAAGAGCAAGCTCTGGCTGGGTGCTTGCGGAAGGGACTCAGTGGCAGCTCTTAGTGGCAGGGCGGCGCGGGAAGAGGCGCGCTTTCTGGCCTCCGGGGCCTGCCCAGTCTCTCCCCACATGCTTTCAGCAACAGAGAGCCATTTGGTTCTGGGGTCTGACAGGAAGATTTAGCTGATATTCAGGAAAACTCTCCTTCGTGTATCAGAAGCCAGCTGCATCATGTCCTGCACCTGGCTTTGGCGCTCTTCTCTGTGATGGTGAAGGCATGGCAAGATTTCGTAAATTGCCTTTTTTTCCCCCTGCCCTCAGCCGGGTCCTAGACTCCACCCTCCCTCAAGACATGCTCCGTTTGGTTTGCTCCGACCTGGAAAAGGGAATAGGTGCTGCAGTGGAATTTGCGTGGGGCCTTCACTACATTGTTTGCAGGTAGCTGTTGCTGTGAGGTGCAGCGGGTTCCAAAGAGGGCTCAGGGTTCACACCCAAGACAGGTGGATGGGCCGCTTAAGCCGCCGGCAGCGCATGCGGAAGGCTCGGGTCCGGGTGAGCGGGACTCGGTAGCTGCACATAGCCAGTGTCCACCTATGGTCAGCCTTATCCTTGGTACGATTCCAGCATATGAGGCAATTTCACTGTGTGGCTAGAGCAGGACAGATGCCTGAACCCATCCCCAAGCGGCCCCACACTCGAGCGGGGGGCTGCCAGACAGTGGACCAAGGCCCCAACGCAGCCTGGCACCTCCCCCACGGCTCCCGCCTGCCGTCCCGCACAGCATTTTGGACATCCCATCTTCCCCACCCTGACCTTGAACATTCACAGCTGGTTTCTTCTAAAAGGAGAGCCACCTCAGTGGGAGGATTTTAACACAATGGTGGGGCTGAGGCTGGTAGGGCGGGCCATTTATCCTCTCCCCCCTTTCCGTAGCCGCGTGAACAACCCCCTGCTGATCTCTCTAAGGACCGTGCCCTCCCTGGCACAGCGCTTGGTGGAACTGGCCTCCACGATACCAACAGTGTCTCCGGAGTGCCTGGAATTGGTAAAGGGTTTGTAAATAGCAAATTGGTCAAGTTCCAGGCTGTGCCGACTGCTCTTTTCCTGAACGCGACTCTTCCCGTTCATTTCAGCTGGTCTGCCCTGTGGTGCGCTGCCTTGGCAACCTTCTTGCAGAAGAGCCGGCAGAGCGGGGCGAACCGCTGGCAGAGGAGGGTGGCCTCCTGTGGGCCTTGTCCGTCTTCATACAGCATTTCCTCCCCACACACTTCTTCATTGTCCGGGAGTGCCTGTGGCTCATCAACAACCTCACAGGTATGTCCCTTGAACACGTCTCGGGGCTTGCGCAGGATGAGAGCAAGCCCTACACCCGCAATCACTGCTTTGTCTTTTTCGGTTAGACCCTTCCAAAGAGCCGCAACCTTTGGTGGCGAGAATCTCCCAGTTGCAAGGAATCGACTGGAACAGTGTTTGTTTCCAGTGCATAACATGCAGGAAGACAAATATGTTTTATGGAAAGATGCGAACAAACAGCAAGGTGCCGAAGGAGCTGCCTGGCCTAGGGGTGTGAAGGCCAGATGCTGGCAGGGCAGGCCTAGCTTGCAGCTCTCTTCTGCGTGGGACCCCTCTTGGGCGCCCCGTCCCTTTAGTTCTGTGTGAAGCAGACTGCCAGGAGGAATTCAGAGCCGAAGAGCCCTGGCAAATCAAGCAAAGGGTTCCCCTCGTTCAACATTCGGCCCACACAGTGGGCAACTGGCCACCCGTGGGATCCCAAAAGCAGGACAGGGACACAACGGCTTCCTCCTGCCCAGGGCCTCCAGCAACTGGCCTGCCCAGGTGGGTGCCTCCAATGCTGGAGGGAGCGCATGGTCCTTGGCCCCAGGAGCCGCCGATAGCCTTCTTTCCCATGAAGGTATCCACCCCCCCTTTTAAAGCCGTCCAAACTGACAGATCTACAGACTACACCTACAGAATGCATCTCACAGAAGTGAAGGCTACCGTTTCACTCTGCACCGGGAGACAAACCCCTTCCTTTCATCTGCCCTGAATCTCACCAGTCCACTTTATGGGCTAACCCAGGTTCTAGTGTTCTGAGCTGAGCGTAGAGAAATGTCTCCCAGCCTACTCTGACCACTCCATGAAATGGCTTGGTCTGCTTTTCCCCAGTTGACAGCACCGCCTCATGCTCTGCTCTGCTGAACCTGGATGTCTTTCCCGCTCTTCTGACACTCTTGAGTTCTCATCAGATGGTGAGCTTGCTGGTAGGTGACCATTTTCCAGGGTTCTGGAAGTTTTCTTCTCCATAAGTACCTGGGAACCTGTGTTCATTCTGTACAGCACTGGGTGGGAAGAGCTGGCTTTTCATGGTACCGAACTTCTGCTGGAGTTGAAGTTGACGGCAGGCAGGAGGCCAAAGGACCATACGGGACTGGCAAGCAGAAAGAACTCTGCAAGCGGCTTAGGCATGAAGCTCTGCACAGACCACAGCTATTCTGCGGACTGGCTCGCTTTCTTTTGCAAATTAAGACTTGCCTTGAGTTAGGACCTTTTAAATATATGCAGGACCCAGGCAATTTGTTTAAAAAGTTGCCCCCTGTGAACAGTCTCCACATCCACAAACTGCGGGCAGCATGGGGAGGGAGATGGCAACCCACACTGGAACGCCTTTGGACTGTAGATCAGGCCTGGGAGGTTTTAAAATAAATCTCCAAACCCAGATGGCCTGCTGGGATATTAGATACTCCTACTGGGATATTTAGATATTTAATTAATTTGCTATTTTAAGTTATATAACCTTACATTAAAACATTACAGTCCTGAAGTGAGGCAACATTCATGCCGAGGGCACCCTATTTGGGGCAGCTCAAGATTTCATGGTCTCCGTGACAACCGTGAGTCCGTCCCTGTGTGACAGCAGCCCAACGCACGGGATGGGCATGCTCTAGACTAGACCAGGCATTGTGGCCTGCCATGAGAATGGTGCGCTGCATGTGGGGGACCCTGACTCAGCCTCTTTGTCACACTGAGGGCATCCTGCTGAGATTGAGACTTGAGCTTCCTGAAGGCCCCAGCAAGTAAGAGCACGTTTGTGGATCTCTCCTCCTCCTGCAGGTTCTGACAGTGCTGTGCAACGTCGCTGTCAAGGGCACCGACTACTGCCAGGCGCTGCACCAGAAGGCTGTACTGCCTTCCCTCATCAGCGGTCTTGGCCTTCCCGACGCCGAAGTGGTGGGCCAAGATCTAGAGCTACTGCACCTCCTCTTCCTTCACTGCCCAGAGGTAGGCACTTCCCTTTGATGTGTCCTGGTACTACGCTATTTCCTGACGGCTCAAGAAGTACCAGCATGCTAACCGCAAATGTCGATCTCCTCTCTCCTGGTCTAGGCTGCCACTGACTTCGTCGCTCAGTCAGGACTACAGGCCTTAGAGCAACATCAGAATAACCCGCAATTGCAAGAACGTGTCACAGCCCTCATTCAGATTGCCAGCCAACGGGTTACTCTCGCAGGACTGTCCCCTCAGTACCTCACCTGAAGAGCTACAGTTTGTAAGGAAGTACAACTGAAGTAGTGATGCACCAGTGAATGATACTGACTTGCTGCAGATTGGAGTTTGAACCGAGTACTGCTTTGTTTCCTCCTCGGAAAAGCAACAGCAGCAAAAACTATACCTCTGTCACCTTATGGAGCTCTGGCTTCACAGTTCTTTGTTTTAACCCTAGCTTAACACCGATTGTACAAAGAAAAACAGCAAAAATCAGTCCTCGGAGGATTTATTTGACGTCAATTTCCTTTATATATAGGTTGCACACATGCGCTCTACAGCTGGACTGGGGTTCAAAGGAAGCGGCCACTCATTACACTTATGCTTTGCTATTAACAACATTCTCCAGGGCTTTGGCCACTTGGTCCACCGTTAGGTTAGTTAGTGGCACATTCTTCTCTCGGCCAAATGCTGGGGAAAAATAAACTTAAATGAGGCATATATATTTCATGGACTATTTTAATTTAAAGACAGATTGTTTAACACTTTAGACAACCATTTTTGTAGTATATACTGGAACAGGCTACTTAGAAGTGTTTGCCTGTATAGTGCACACAATAACCCTAACACTGATGTGGGATAACCTGAAGCAGGACACCAGTGAAATCAGATGCAGCACCAGAGGCATCCCTCTGCACATGAACTGCCTGCTTTTTCGATGTGGTAGCGCTTGGCTAACAAACAGTTGGCTTACAAGAGCTGAGATGCAGTCACGCTGCAGTTTTCTTCCCTTAATTTAAGCTTTTCGAAACTGAAAGGATGGGAATGACTAAAATGGTAGCAAATAATGTCAATATATTAATTGCAAGCCATTTTTAGACCTCAGTCAATTTGAGAAATGGCTGCAAACAACTTCCAATGGTAGGGCTCCTGGCAGGCAATTAAAACGACAGAGCAATGTAGAATAACCGTTACAGTAATTAAACAGAAAATGCATCTGTTTCCACCACTCTAGAAATAGCCCTGTGTCTGCTGAACAGGTTGCTTCTGCCTTTCCTGCAAGAGCAATCTCCCAGCACAGCCCTTCCCTACTCACCGTATCTGGCCCAGAGCGCGGGCTGCACGTTTGAGCACTCTCTGATCAGCATGGGGAAGTCGGGATTCGCCCTTTTCAAAGCGACGTAGTGCTGCTCAATGAAATCTCTGCAAAGAAGGAGCCAACACGCGCGGCCATGCAGCAGCCCGCGTCCCTCCGCCCTGCACGCGGGGCCTGGCCCCTAGAGAGCCCCCGCCTGCCGTCGGGGCCCCGCAGCCAGAGAGCGCGCCCGGCGCAGCTGCCCCTGCGCGAGGCGCAGCGCCGCACCCGCGGCCGCCGGGCCCCGCGGCGCAAGGCCCGCGAACCGCCCCGAAGGGCAGCCCGCCCCTGGGCCCCGCGCCCCCCCCAGCCCGTTCCCGAGACAGCCGCGCCCGCCTCCCGCGCAGGCGGCCCTCGCCCGCGTACCGGGCGCCCTGGCTGGCCGGCGAGCGCGGGCACAGGTGGAAGCGGAGCTCCCTGAGGTGCCGGCCGAGGCCGCCGCCGATGACCCGCCCGGCCGCCGCCATGCTGCGCCGAGCCGAGCCGAGCCGAGCCGCCAATCAGCGCGGGGCGCCCTCCCCCCGCTCCGCGCCATATCCGGACACCACGCGCGACATCCGGGCAAACAAGCTCCGCGAGCGGCTGCGCGGGCGGGAGGCGGGCGCCCGTCACCACTTCCGGTCCGCAGAGGCCGCCGCCGCCGCCGCCGCCCGAAGGAGTGCGCGAGCCGCGGGGCCAGCAGCCAGGATGCCGGAGCGCGAGGGTGAGTCGCTCGGGCCGCCGCGCCTCCGGAGCGGAGCGGCCCGCCCGCCCGCCGCCGCCGCCGCCGCCGCCGCCGCC